TAAATAATAAAAATAATTATTATTTGACTCCGGTTAACCGTTGGCTTCCGGCGTTGACCGTTGACTTTAGTATGCAGTATGTATGAAGCAAATATGCATTTAATATCATGCATTTAATATGAACTAAATATGCACCAATAATATCAACAAGTATGCACCTGTTATGAACTAAATATGCATCATGGATGAACTAAATATACAGCGAAAATATGCAAATAAATGTACATGTTATACATGTAACTTAAATATAATAATTTAATGATTTTTATTATAGAAGTAATTCAAATTTAAATTGAGTAATATAATCATTGATCTACACAAATAAATATTTAGGTAATACAGAATGCATATTTGTTTTATTTTATTTTAAATATATGATGATGCATATTTAATTAATTTATGATGCATATTTAATTAATTCACGATGCCTATTTAGTTCATACGAAATGCATATTTAATTAATATGGAATGTATATTTGTTATATTTAAATTAAATATATAATGATGCATATTTTGGTAATTTATGATGCATATTTAGTTAATACGAAATGCATATTTGTTATATTTAAATTAATATTATAATGATGTGTATATAGTTAATTTATGATGCATATTTAATTAATTCATAGTACCTATTTAATTCTTACAAAATGCATATTTAGTTTATGAACAGTGCATATTTAGTTCATGTGAGATCCAATCATAACAATTTATTTGTGTAGATCAATAACTTATATTAATCAATTTAAAATTAAAATTAATTATATAATAAAAATAATTAATTATTATATTTAATTTAATTGTATAAAATGTACAGTTTATTGCATGTTTCGCTGCATATTTAGTTTATTCATAATGCATATTTAGTTAGTAAAATGTGCATATTTAGTACATAAACAGTGCATACATAGTTGATATTTTTTGTGCATATTTAGTTCATAGGGATTACATATATAATTCATATCTTATGCATATTTAGTTTATACTAGTATGTAACCCGTGCGATGCACGAGCTGTATTTACTTTGGAGCATATTAAAAATTAAAATATATTAATAAATAAAAGATTGATAATTCGTAGGAAAATTATCAAACCGTAAAATGTTCCTCATGCAAAAAATTATATTATTTAGACTTTTTTGCACAACATTATTTGTTCAATAACTGAGCAACTTGTCGTCCCCACAAACTAATATTTTCAACACTTTTCTATTACTTACACACGAAACAAACAACATAATTGTCCGTGACTAAAAATCGGTTTCTTTAAGAACATGCCAACGTACAATAAATGTTAACCTTGACTCTTCTTGATCTATTACTTAACATGCCAACGTACAATAAATGTTGACCTTGACTCTTCTTGACCTATTACTTACACGATAACAACATATAATTGGTCGTGATTAAAAAAATATTTTTTTAAGAAGATGCCAATGCACATTTCTTTTACTTACACGTAAAAACAACAACATACGATCGATCGTTGCTAAGAACCAATTTCTTTAATAATATGCCAACACACATAAAGACTGACCCTGATCTTAAATGAAACCCTATGATTAGATGTAACTGGTGTTCTAGAACTTAAATGAAATCCTAAGATGGATCTTTTTATAATATGATAATTTTCTTAGGCAGTCAGACAATGAGTTGTTAGTTTAATATCGATTATACTTGATTAGCTATATAATATTCACTAATATTTCTATATTCTGACCATGAGTGTTAAATGGAACCCCAAAATCAGAAGGAACTGGTGCCGCTGGAACTTAAATGGAAGTCTAATATGGATCTATTTATAATATGATCATTTACACAACAGTTGGGCAAATGAATTGGTGTATATCTACAAAAATATGTATGAATAATACAAAATATTAAATATTAAATCACACTAATTTTATGAGAGAGTTTATATATAGTAGATATAAAAATAAAACATTAGTGATGAGACATTACTTCAGGCTAATTTTTTCAAACCGAACAATTTTTAAT